ATTTAGTAAAAACATTAACAGAATTTAACTTGGCGCCACAATTGTTGATATCAAATCTTTTATACAAATGATACATATCATTAGTTCTACTAAATAGCAAATGTGATCAGTTATCAGTTTCACGGCCGATTAAGTAATTGGCAATGGTGAAACTGGCCCAAATGGTGATTCTGTATGAGAAGTGATATACCTACATCTCGATATAATAAATATGAATGTAATACTTAGAAAAATAAGAGAAATAAGAATATAATACTTAGAAAATAAGAAGCATATTAATAAGAAAAATATGAATGTTTGGAGAAATAAGAAAATTATTCTAACGTAACTGATACATAATACATACATATGCATTTAAGCGTAAATACATTATTATTTAAAAACAAATTTTTTTAATATTTATATTGTCCTTCCTCCCACGTTCTCTGCGGCCTCCACGTCCTCCGCGGTCTCCGCGTCCTGCACGGCCTCCGCGTCGGTTATCTTTCCTATCTTCCCTATGGGGACGATATCTGACGCTGTTTGGACTGGCACGGCTCTTCTGCCAACGCCTGGCTGTAATAAATTTGAAAATGATTAAAATTTTGTATTTTAAAATATGACATATGTGTAAATTTTTAACCACATTGAAAAAAGTTAATAAGTTAAATAAGTTAAATTAAATAATAAAAGTAACTTGTCGAAATTAATTCAACTCTATCTAACTGTACTTATTGACTATAAGGTAATTTTTACTTACGTTTTTCTTGTTGTTTGAGGTCCTACGTCTCCACTGGTCCTGACGCGGGCGGTTGCGTCGCCGCTAGTCCTGGCGCGGGCGGATGCGTCGCCGCTGGTTAGAACTCACCTCGAGGAAAAAAAATAGACTCATTCGATGTATTTTTTTGCACTACATGAAATTTTTGCACTATATGAAAAATCTGTCGCTTTGCCCTGCGAATCAAATTATTAACTGTTATTAATTAAAGTTGACAAATTTCTAGATGAAAAAATCTGTTGCATCAATGACATAGATTAAACAATTTTCTGCTTTACAGACAAATATTTAACCAAGTCAAATAAAAATAACAAATACTCTGTTGTAAAAATAAAAACAAAGAATGTGATTTTAAAGCAGAGAAAAGCAGAGAATTTGTGTAATTGAAGCAGAAAATACTTATTCTAGTTTCAATTATATGTTCTCATGTCCTTCTATGCCATTGATATGACGGATTTCCTAACCTGAATTATAATGATCAACTTTAACGTTAATATATAAAATATTGTAACGTTTGTTTTCGCTACGCTTTTTTTCGTGGTTGTGAGTTTCGCGGATCTTCGGGGAAGCCACCGGGACGAGGTTTGACAGGAAGGGTTTTACACTCGGAATTACTAGACTCGCAAGACGACAGGTAAAAGATACATATATTCTCAGTCTTCTTCGTATCGCGCGTCTTACAATGCGTTCGTCTTAACATGTCTCCATTTTTCTACTACTGCGCCGCCTGCCTATCTTCTTCGTAACTTCTTATCCGATCAGCGGCTCCTCGCGGCTAGGGTCTTTGCACGCGTTACAGGGACCTTCACGTTACAATATAATATATCTCGGTCCACGGGGTAAAGCAGTGTTGTTAGATGAGCCCCCTTTTAGCGCATGCGCATTGCAGTATAGCATCAATGCTGTACTAATGTCGAACTTATAAAGGTTCTTTAAGGCCTTATTTTTGATGTTTCTGTAAAAATTATATCATTTTTTGTTTTTATTTATTATTATTTATTATTAAAAACCGAAATCAGTAAAAAAAATCAATAATAGAAGTGACGAAATTATAATATTTTTTCTACTATCAAAGATCTCTCGATAGTTTTTACTATTCATTCGAAAACTATCGAATAGTTGAACTATCGAGGTTTAGCCAACACTAGGATAAAGCGATATACCTAACTTAGGGCCTGAGCACAATAGAGGAACAGGAATTAGATATTAAGATTTTAACCTATCAGAAACTGATTACATCGGAATACACGGTTTCTGATAGGTTGAAATCTTAATATCTAATTCTTGTTCCTCTATTGTGCGCAGGCCCTTAATCAATCAATAGCCACAGAAAGCAGCATGTGTGATGTGACCATGCACATTGCCAGCGCCACATTTGCCTCTTGCGCCCAAAATACCAAAAGGACATTACCCCCACCATTCGTAGCGACGACGTGGACGACGATAATGATGATGACGTTTCTTAATATAAAAGTTTCACGTTCGTATTTTGCGTCGCAATATCTCCGCTCGTAAAGCACGTAGAGAAAAAATAAAGACACTTTCATTATATATCCCGACCGATTGCAGTCGATTGAGCACACTTAGAACTTGATCGGTTCAGCCCTTATTGAGATCCCATAATCTCGATCGGCCGCAACTCGCCGGCTCGCGTAAAGCCCGATCTACAATTGCGTAAACGTAGTTGTAAATGGTTGTAAAATGTTGTAAAGCGAAGTTTTAACCTGCCATTCCCGGTTGTAAAGCGTGTTGTAAAAGATGGTT